TTTAAAACTCATCTCACCCGAACTTGTTCGGCAAAAATAACATCAAGAAGAATTAAAACGAAGAAAAGCTGAAGACCACCCCAGCAAAATCTATAAATCTGGAAAAATTTATTTTTACACATTATTACGCACCTTAAAAAAAACTTGAACGCCTCTTCCTATGATCGCCATCATCTACAGACTACTCTCTCTAGGTCAAAATAAGCTACTCCTCCGATCCTAAATATAAGACTCTTATACTAGTATGTATAAAGGTCTTATATTTGGGACCGGAGGAATATTAAAAATAAATTTCATATTTTGTCATAGAAAAAAATTTTTTTGTTCGTTGACATGAAAAATCAGATTGAATTTCTTTCTTTTTTTTAATTAAAAAAAAGGGCAATGAAAACAGGCAACAATCAACTAGCAACGAGGGACGCAGAACTGACATCCCCATCTAAACCTTCAAACACAAAGGTTGGTATGGAGAGAGATGAATTCCAACCTCTTCTCAGCATGTTCTGAATTAGCCTCCTCAATGAAAATTCCTTCTCCAGATGCTCCGTGGCTTCGCCAGCCACAATCCTGTTGTTCACAACTTCACCGCGGGCGGCTAATCCCGGACTGGTGGGTATGAGCGCCGTACATATTGAGCTTCATGTTATTTTCATCACATCTACTTTCTGCACCGCGCTGTGTAAGCCCGGTAACATGCTTATACTAACTCTGTACCAAGCCACACGGGCCTTCGTTTTTCATTTAAAGGCCATACAGGGCCGCCAGTCATCTACTGAACTTTTTTTTGGTCAGTAATGTTTTTCAAAGTCGTAAAATGGTTAATTTTTTGGTTGATGACTTGACAAGCATATATAAGGATCTATATATTATTTAATTGTATTATAATCATTTTATATTTATCAAGTCCAATTTTAATTAACAAGATGGAAATATGTGTATCATTATATAGTTAGTGTTTTTATCTTCCACGAAACAAACCGTATCAGACGCTTCACTGATGTTACATCATTTTAACCTTTTAATGAGCTTGGGTAAAATAAAGCAAAACACTTTCTACAAATGAATTCAAACGCAATCAAACTAGAATACTACACTGAATAAAACTAATCATGAATTGCACATTCATAAATAATACAATTTTCAATATGTAACCACACGTATAATTTCGTACCTCCCCTTGCATCCGGGAAAAAAAAAAGAAAAAAAAGAGGGAGGTTACCATACCACATTCTCTCCATTTTATGCTTTCAATTCTTCATCAGTTCATTTCTAATATGTTCAAAACATGCATAACGAAAATCAGATGAAAAACCAAACACGTTTTTTTACCTAAGAAAACCAAACGAATTAACTATTTTGACAAGGATGATTTATGAACAAGGCATCCTGACAAGAAAATGGATGCAATCACTGTACACTAACTATTCTAATATTTATATATATATATATATAGAGAGAGAGAGAGAGAGAGAGAGTGAGAGAGAAGTCCTCAGGAAAGTGGTGACCCTAAGCAGAATTTTTCTTTATGGCATATCCACGAAAAGCTGCTAAGCCGACAACCGCCATAGCAGCCCCCACTGTACATTCACGATAGAAAAAAGTTTAGACGACAGGCAAAAATGAATGTGTATATTAGCGGTAAAGTTTCATTAGGAGGTAGCTAAACAAAGCGCACCTGAGGCAAATATAAGAGAGTGATGAAGAAGCTGATGATACAGCCTTCTCTTCCCCCCAATATCGGTTTCAGGAATATTCAAATGAGGGTGTTCTGCAGCACTAACAATCTTATCGTACACATTACTTGATTCACCTAATTTCATGCTTACGTGAATGGGCGCCTCTATACCCAATTCCTCAGGAACCTAAATAACATACGAATAATAGATGATAAGATCCTGAGCTCGCGGGAATAGCAAAGAAATCATACACTACCCAAAAAACTTGTACAAGGATAAAGTACCCATTAGCAGAAAATGCACACCTTAACTGAATCTTGTACTGCCCTTGGGTATGGAGTTAAGTCATCCTTAGCAGCAATGAGAAGGCAAGGAACTCTGTGACCAGTTAATTCTCCTTGTCTAGAAACTTCCTCGAGCAATTCCCTGGCTCTTTTCCACGAATGTTCATCTGAACTACAGAATATAGAACGACGATCTTGAACCACAGCACAGGACAAAATGCAGAAGATACTTACACTACAAGTCTATGCAGATGCATATAAGGTAAGACCAGATTTTTCAATCGAGAAATTTTAACCCACCAAGGGCCAAGAAGAAAATGCATGGAGTACAGCCTCAAAATCTGGTTCTAATGGTGATATCATGTGAGAAACAATTTCGCATATAGTCTTAGTTAAGAATATAGCCTTGTCAAAAAATAAAACTCGCAACTAAAGATGGTTTTTTATTTTTCTTATTTTTAAAAGGTTGGGTCGAAAATCTAGTTCATGAATTGTTAACCACATAATGCAAAATATTTTATCAAGCAGCAGAAAATTTGGAGAGTTCAACAATGAAATACAGTAAAATATAAATCCAAACAGCGCGTAAAAGAGATTAGAGACTTGAAAGGAGAAAAGACTAATAAAATTTATTTTAAGTGCCCCAAACACTACGAAGTTATGAACATATGGTGGAAGAAAAGAACCATACCCGTCATATACGAAAACAGCAACATCACATGCTGCCAAACAGTCTCGATTTGACAAAAATTTCTTTACTTCGTCCTCAGGTATCTCGCACAAAATAAGAGTTTTTCTAGTGCCCTATGCATTGAACATCATGATAATAAGCAGTTAGATCCTGCATGTCGGGCACTTCTTCCCCCAGGACTTCCCAACTCGACTTGTTATTTTCATCAGCAATAATGGAGTATATTAAATTGAAAAAAAAAAAAAAAAAACTGAGAGAGAAGACAAGATAATATAAGCCTTTAGGGCACAATCACATTTTCGCATCATAATACTCACCCCAATTAATTCAACACTATTTGCAGCATATTGCCCGACCGTTGTTGGAGTATATTTATCAGAGAAAGGCCTGCGAAAGGAATGAGCAACAAGTGAAAGGAATCAAAGGTTGCTCAGAATAAAAATCGGCACATGAACTGTATTTATGGACTAAATTTTACAAAATGAAAGATCAAGTATAATGAACTAAATTATACAAAGATATGGTGATTGGTTCAGGAGCAACACCTTCTCAAAAATGAATATAATAAAGTAGATTTCCCAGCATTTTTAGAACCAAAGACATAGCACTGGAACACATTTCTTTCAGTTTTTTGTTTCTTACGGTCTACTGATCTCCTACGAGTAACACGGAGTGCAGCAGCAGGATTGCCGCTATATCCAATGTAAATCAAATTAGCCAGGCAGGATCGAGGATCAAGTAATGTCATGAGAGCCCACTGCAGATTTAGCAGCTAAATCAATGAATAACTCATTTCTCTAACTAAATGGAAAGAAATGATGCAAAGTAGCACAAATCTTCAACAATGTACTGCAGATATTGAACAATATAAATGAACAAAGTTGGTGGTCCCAACTAGAAACAACAACAACACAGCATCCAGTCCCCTTCAAAAGATGAGTAAGGATAGAAAAGGTAGTTAAAGGAAGAAATCATAATGCAATGACATCTTCAGGGTAATTGACTGGGCACAAGGCTTCTCACCAATAAGTTTCTGGCTAGCTCATCAGATGACCACATAATTTGAAAGTCACACACAAACAATACAACCGTGTATATTTTGATAACTATGATAGCAATAGAACATTAACACAGTACTGATGGTTAGGAATAAGAGAAACAAAAATGGCAGGTTGAAGAATATAAAAGTCAAAGGACGTTATCACACCTGAGACAGAAATCCACCAAGAGTCATGTAGCCTGCATCAGTTCTCTCAACAGCATCCTTATATGGATCATCACTCCATGGACTGGAATTCAAATACAGCATCAAAACTATAGAATGTCAATGAGAAAAATTAAGGCACAGATATAGGACCATATGAGGCATCACAATATAAAAATAAGGTAAACAATTTACAAAGCAAATATCACCTCAGAACATTGACAACAGTAAGGAAATTAATATCGCAAGATCCGTTTCACCTCATCATTTCTAATGGACCAATTCTCTCAAGGTAACATTCTGCATATAGGCTAATGGAAACGTGTCTTTTTTTAAACTCGTGTCTAAATGGCCAATTCAATATATTCAAAACCATATGATAGAAAATTATTGATTGCAATAAAGGCAAATGTGCACTGAATCATAGAAGCCCAAGAGGGGAAAAAACAAATAGAGAGAAACTAGACACATTTCTGTGTGTATTAATTTTTTCTTTTATACAAAATTTTGCGCGTATTACATGGAAACTGAAATAAATCATATTATTTATCGATTATAAATAAGAGTGACTTGCTTTAGATTTTCTATGATAAGCTGATATGTTGATTATCAACATTTTCTCCCTTTCCGGATTAATTTAAAGCATTCCCTTGCTATTCTCATTGATACATCCAATCAGTATCCATACCAAGCCTTTCAATGGTACTAGTCGTCCTATTCCACCCTTTAAAACAATACTCCCTCCGTTCCTTATTATAAAAGACGAATAATCGAATTACGTTGATAAAAAAAACAGTTAAAATTAGTTAAGAACAATTAATATGTAAAAGGTATAATTTTTTTTTCCAAAAAGGCCCTCATTAATAAGGAGAGAGAGCATGAGAGAGAACAATGGTAAATTATTCAAAGAAAGAGAAGTAGGAAGGAAAGAGAGTGTGAGTTGGAAACAATAAATATGGGTAAAATAGGAAATCAACACAAAAAAATGGAGATAACTTTTAAGTGTCTCTTATATATAGAAACATGTCATAAGCATTCAATGTCTCTTATAATAAGGAACGGAGGGAGTAGTTGGCAACTAGAAGCCCTTAATCTCAGTATCACTATAATTTGAACATTGACCAGACTAATATTTTCCTAATTGGTATTTATATGATAAACGCTTCTGATAAGACCCAACCCCCTGCTACCACCATGACACACAGAAAGGGACATAGAGGGTTGGCAAAAAGGAAGAAACGGGGAGCTACTGGTCTAGGACAGTCCATTGAGGTTGGAGATCGGATAAGAGTAAGACAGATAGTAAAGGAGAAAAAGAATGGAGCAATGATGAAGGGTAGAAAGGAGCAAATAAAAAGTCGTGAGTGGGTGTATTAAAGGAGAAGATGAGAGGGTATGAAAGGCAACGAAGAAAAGTTTGGGTTAGGTCATGATGAAGAGAGCCAACCTCTCAAAAGTTTAGCAACTGTGTCTTGTGATTCAGATTGCAGTAATCTATTTTCCCCTCATACACTAAGCCAATTCCAATCAATCTCTCTTTGTGAATGCAGATTCGGCAAATATGAAGGGCTTAGCACTAAAAAGTAGAAGAAGCAAGCTTCATGTGATTTGACCTGAAATATTTACAGGAATGAAAGACCTCTAATATTCAGTAAGCAAAAATAGAATCTCACAAGGACAGTTCTCTTCCCGAGTTTTGAACCTGGGATTTATCTTTAAGTTCTCCTACTACAGCAAAAGCAGCTATTACTAACAGCCAACCAATTCTAGATTACTTGATCCTCAGTCAGACAGCAAGTTCACTGAGAAGATAACACGAATGCAATATGCATACTGTCACAAAAAATAAAACGAGTATAAAAAGGTTGACCTTTCTGGGGCAGTAGAAAAGAGCTTGTCAAGCTCTGCAGGTTGCAGGGCTCGGTCCTGGAAAACATCAAAATTCCAAAGCAAAGATTAGAGAAGCATATTAGACATGAAATACTGCCTGAAAAAGAGGGAAGAAGATAGCAATAGCAAAACGCAGCAATTGTGACGTGATATTCAAAATGCTTTTACATACTCTATCTGTATCTAACAGTCGGAAGATACCATTCAGAAATTCTACAGCTTCACTCGTCAGCTCCACTCTCTGTAATATGGTGTCAAAAAAGTAATTACTTACATATCATACATGACATAAATTAGGGTTATGATTCTCTGGAACAACTTTGCAAACAGCTTATCTACAACACAATGGCCTATAAACAAGGAAAATGTAGTGCACAATTATCTAATTCAACAATCATGCTTTGCAAAACCAACACCATCAAATAACACATCCCCTTCTTCAATTCATTCATGAACAAAAGGAAATAATATATAATGAACCCTACCAAGTACTAGTTGCTAATTAAGTGGGATTCAAATTATGAAATTCGTACAAAACGTCAAGGCTAATGGAAAAAACCTGACAATAAATACCATGCAATACTAAGTGTCAGCTGTAGGATTAGATATAATTCTTTTTTTATCTTTCCGAATCACCAATCCATGCTACCCAAGAAGTTCGCAATAAATCTTTTGCAGACATCCATATATGCTTTTAAATTTAGGCACTCACCAAACCCACGGAATCTGATGGTTAACAATTAATATACACTAGCATGAACCAAGAGAAACGTTCTAGTGTTCCCAGGTCATTAATTTCAAGCATACTGGAATATTGCTAACACAAATTGAATATACTAATAACAACCAGTAGCAGTGCCAGCAGTCTAACCTCTTCCATTTAAATCAAACAAAGTCAATCAAAGTGGAATCTCAAAATGATCAAACTTTTTTTTTTCAGGAAAAAAAAAAAGGGACCTGATCAGAGGCATAGTGAGATGGAACTGGAAGAAAATCATCTCGGAGTTTCAAATCATTATTATATCCAAATTTTCTTAGAACTGCCCAAATTGTCTCAGGACGTCCTTTCTTCAGGAACATATTGTGGATATAAACAAAGCCTGGAAAACTAAGACCATGCTGGTTGATTCCCTCAGGTGCTTGCTGCTGAATAAGTGTTCTCACTTCCGTTATTTCAGATGGCTGCAACTGTGTGTCAAAACATATAACCTGTTGAAATATTTACAACTATAGATTTTCAGTATTCTTGAAATACAGGAGGTTACATAAAGGAAACAAAAACTTATTATTCAAAATAAATAAAGGCCATCAAAAACCTGAAATCCATTTAGCTCTGCATCATTGAGGGCGTCATCCATGTCTCTATCACAGAGAACAAAAATTCTCCTCAGTGCCCTTAAACATCTATCTGTTAAAGCATGCCTCTCATGATCAAACAATGGATCCACTGGATGAACTACTGCTTTTTGAGCAAAATAAAACACCTCAGGGACCTGAAGACAGGTAAACTTAGTTTGTAATTATGGAGAGCTTCACTTTTGCATAGAGGAAGCCAAACATAAATTCAACATCATCAAGACAATATATATTTAATGATGACAAGCATGAATTTCACATTGTTATACTTGCAGAGGAAAACAAGCAAAATGATTTAACATTTTTCAATGTCCCATGCTTCTTGTATAAGGTGAATGCTGGAAATAAGATATTAACCACCCCCCCCTCAAAAAAAAAAGCATTTAAATGAAGGATTCAACATCCCATGGCGATGCCCATGAATGACTAGGCATAGTATTCGCCTTCTGTAAAGCATAGATTTGTATTCTGACATATAAAAAATGATAAGAAACTTGCTTAACTACTATAAGAAATTATTGTGATGATCAGCCATGCGATTGACTGATCTTTCCAATGCAAAAACACTAAACTAATAGAGTGATCCAATAATGCGATTTTCATCTCTCTTTTTTCATTAATGAAACGCCAAATGACTAACTTAAAGCGTTTTGACTGCTATGTCAAACAAAAGTGAGAACTGTCAAGCAAGAATCACCGGGTTAGACAACATACCTGATATAGTGTAGCTGCTGAGCATTCCATACAGGTAACAATTTCACCATACTGTTGTAGGAGCTGCGTCATGAGATCCTCTAAGTGTATTTGCTGATTCTCGTCCTGCAGATCTAGCTTGCAGCCAACCACAACTACAGGTGCCTTTACCTGCACAGTCAAAAAGAAGAAATGATTATTTGCTTGACATTAATCCTTAATTTTTCATTAGAAATGACAGTACAGACCTCCAACTCCTCCAGTTCAGGAAGCCAGTAAGTGCTAAGACGAGTAATGGTCGTCGGTTCATCACAAGCATATGTCAAAACCACTACATCAGCTCGTTTCAGTTCTTCATTGCGCTTGCCCCGTTTTTCCAAGCTAAAAGAAAAATAATGCTCTAATTAGATTGAGGAATGATCGGGCTATTACTTTTTCCAAAGCAAATATTAACACTCGATAACTAGAAATAAACTAAAATCTCCTAAAAATTGTAAAGAACACAGGAAACCAAATTTAATCAGGTTTGAAAAGAATAACGATGGTCATTATGATGAATGCATGACATTTGTTTTATTATTGCTTAACAACAGGTATAAGACAGATATATATACACAGACATATAAAGGGTTCCTGCCATTAGAGGGAGGGGGAACACATATTTCTTGGCGCTTAAACAAGAGCTCTCTGCGACGGACCTGGAAGATGTGTCAATGATGGTAAGCGGAAGATGATCCGGGAACCAGTCATCAGGCAGCAGCGTGGGGGGAAGGACGGGGGGGACGGCGTCGGGGAAGGACTCAGAAGCCGCAGCAGCTATCAAACTAGATTTGCCGGTACCTCGGTCACCGATGACGGCGACTCGAACGCCGGAAGGACCGGCGAAGGAGGAGTGAACCGCCATTGATGCGAAGTGAATGAAGGAAGCAGTGGCGGTAGGAGCAGCGAAGGCAGCACTAAAATGGGTGCAATTCGGCAATCCGGCGGGATTGCTCCGTCCTGGTCCCGCTTCGTTCCTTATGAAACACAGCCAAATTTTTTCTTGAATTTTTAGAGGTCCATCTTTTGCGTTGAATCAAAACCCCACGAAGGCGTGAAATTTTTATAGCTCGTCATTCCACCTCATTCAGGGTCCGAAAACCCGTTCACTGTTTTTTGTTTTTTTAGGGGGAAAAAACCAGAATCCCCTGTTCAGTTCAGTGACTGACAATTTGTTTCTCGGAAATTGAAGGGCATACTTTTATGTTTTCCGGTGAAAAGGGGGATACTTTTAATTTTAGTGTAGTTTCAATATCTGAAATACAATTAAATTAGACTGGCTTACTGTATTGCATTTCAAAATACTCCTCCGGTCCTAATTATAAGACCCAATTGACTTATTTGAGGAGATTAAGGAAGTAAGTTAAGTTGGTTATTTATAATAAATAAGTGTTGTTATTCCTAAAATATCCTTGCTAATTAAGTATATTGGCTAAAACTATCATTATTAGAAGGATTATCTTGGAAAAAAATGCATAAATATAAGAGAAAAAATGGATTGGGTCTTATAATTAGGACCAAATAAAAAGTCAAATTGGGTCTTATAATAAGGACCGGAGGAGTATAAAATTTTAATAATATATTTATAAAATATTGGATCTATTTTTAATATAAATTGAATAAATTTTACAATGAGAGACAAAAGATAGGAAAAGGCATCACAATACCTCCATTATAAACATAAAATCTAATTTGTAGTGAAAAGGATGGTCATCGGATAAGAATGGATTCAAGGCAGACGGATCTCAGCAACTTCGAACGAAGAGTACAAGTTGTTCAATTGATGGCTTGGACGAAAATGAGTGCTTCTTCTCAACCTACAACATAAACACGTGACGCCAAGCACAAAAATAACAGAACAAGACATCCGCTGCAAAAATAACCACCCAAGAAACTCTTCCAATTTATTAAAACGGAAAAGAAGGAATCAAGTCTGTGGATATGAACATTTCCAATTTCAACAATGTGCGCCGCATGTGGGTTTTAAGATTCATAGGCAAAAGAGGAGTATGGTTTTATTGCAGTGTTATCAGATGCTAATTAGCATAACATTGCTTAACAAACTAGAAGCATGTCGGAAGCAGGACTAAAAATATACTTCGTAAATTTAAAAGATTAAAATGAAATTTGATATAGAAATAAAAGACCACATATGCAACTTTTAGTTCTTAATATAAAGATTAGAAAATTAATTTATAAATATTAAAAAATTAAATGGGTGTTATCTTTTTTAAAATATCCTTATTAATCACATGTATTATAATAAAAATTATTTAATATGTACAGTCACCATAAATACTATTTTAAAGAAAATAAATAAATATAGAAAATAAAGCAGAATATAATCTTATATTTATAACAAAATAGAATATCTAATTAGCTCTTATATTTGATATTGGAAGTAATATATTTTTGGCATTTATTTTCATATACGAATGTTTTTTAGGCCTCACCATTTTTTATTCTAATCAAGCTTGTCAGAAATTGACTCTATAGAATCAAGCCGAGAAAATTTCTCCATTCTAGTTACAATGTCCGTTATATTTTTAAAATCTGTGTTGCATGCCCTGTGTTGTAGGGAAAAGATTGGCCGAAAAATAGATATCTTACCATTTTCATAAAATTTATTTTGCAATTGATTAATTTCGAATTTTAACCAGCTATCTTCTCTTTATTTGTATAAATTTTAGGAAAAATTGGTCAAGAGTTTCTGATTAAAACATTAATTGGATAGAAGTATATGTAAGGAATCACATGGTGAAACTGTTTTTTAAGTGTGTAACATGCTTTTAGTTATGTATAAATATTTTTCATATTGCAAGTAATTGAAAGTATATTGCGCACAGATAAAAAAATAGTCATTGCATTCGCTGAAAAAATGTTGTACATGGCTTGTGAAACAAATTTCAAGCGGCTTTGTATATATCAGTTCTCTGAGGGATTTTTTTTTTTTTTTAGTCAACCTGTTCTTAATTTTATTCGATTATAGTTGAATTTCTTAGTTTTAGCACACACAAAAATAAAGTTTTCACTGGCTTCATCATCGGATATTTTTTCAATGGAAGAATTTTGAACATTAATTAGTTCTGTTTTATTATTTTGTAAAAATTTTATCTGAATTCAATTAAATATCTCTGCTGTTAAAAAAAAAAAATCTCAACTTTGTAATAAATTATCGCTTCATTTGATCCGTCGTCCATAGAGAATGCATGTTCCCGGGATATTATTTTCGTGTTACGAGGGATATATGTTATTTAAAATGTACCATTTTTTGTATTACACTCATATGATCCTATTAGCATGTTATATATAGATTAATAGAAAAATTTTAAACTATACTAATTTTCTTTTAAAACACACAGTAGCTTTTTAATTTTATTCTTATTTAATATATATACTTTAAAAAAATTATCTATATTATAATAAATAATAAATAAAATAGTATATTTATGATAAAAATTAAATAAAATGATTTATAAATAAGATTAAGAAAAATACTTTCTCCTTTACTATATAAGTAGGGCCAGAGTATAAAATCTCATACCAAAAGAAGGTATTATATAAATTCAAATATTGAAAAATCATTTAAGCTATTGCTTATTTTAATTACACATTATCAAATTTTTGGAAAGTATTACGCGAAGGCAAAAAAGGGGAAAATATTACGCAATTAGGTTCTTAAATATTAATACTGCTTGGATGGCAAAAAAATATTGTTTGGATTTGAGAGATGAGGTTATTATCATTTGTTGATCTTACATTAATAATTTAATACTATGAGATCTAATTTAAACTACAAACTAACTTTAAGAACCGAGGCAGTATTAAATTTTTTTGGTAAACAAAGGTAGTATTAAATTTTGATAATAAGGGGGGGAAATTCTAATTGACATCAGACAACGCACAGATACGCGCACCCAACGAAGGAGGAAATGTAGAGAAACAATTTTAGGGTTTAAGAGGGGTTTTCCATCGCAAGGAGGAGCCTTCTGCACAGGGTTTCATCGGCGACCGATACCCGCACGGCCGGTTCAAAGCATACGGGCAGGAGCTGGAGGGTATTCATTTCGCTTGTTTCACCGTTCATCAGTCGTGCCGTTGAATAAAAGGGAAATGTTACTCCGTTCATACCAAACATGTCTATCAGTTGTGCGCCATTTCTCAATCAAGGCGACGGTTGAGACGTCGGCGCAAACCTCCACCGCCGCTATCCCCACCTCCCCCCGAGGCGGAGACACGCTGGGTCGAAGGCTTCTGAGCCTTGTCTACCCAAAACGCAGTGCCGTCATTGCCATCAATAAATGGAAAGAAGAAGGCAACACGGCACGCAAATACGAGCTCAATCGTATCGTTCGTGAGCTCCGTAAGCTCAAGCGATACAAACACGCTCTCGAGGTTGGTTTTAGTCATTTCTCTTCAGTTTGTTTTCTACATGTCCACCGTTATAATTCCCGGGTCAGCTCTCTAATGCTTGGATCAGAGTTACGTTCTACTCGCTATTCTGGTGTGCACAGTGTTTAAAACAGGTATTCATTATGATGGAGTCCGTTATGTAGGGGAATTTACGACCTGCGTTAGTTTCTGCGCAATTTGATTCTAATATCCTGCCTCGCTAACGTGATTAGAATTCTTAACTTCACATGAATTGTTAAGATATACTCTTCTGGTCCTAAGTACAAGACCCTTATACCAGCTTAAATATAAGGTCCTTACACCACACTGGTATAAGTATGAGGGTTACATTTAGGACCGGAGGAATAATTGTTGGCGTTCGTTCGCAAGAATGGACAGAACTTGTGAGAAGGGGTCAGCATTAAGTTCATCATTCGCATACCTTTGAAACTCGGCTTGTGAAAATGATTAGTGGGAATTCTCAAGTTTTCCCCTCTTGTAATTAGGGCATGGAAAATTACGCAGAAAAAAACTCATGCATATCAAGGTTTTTAGCTGTTTGTAATGCATGCCAGGAGTTTCATATTTGGGATTTTTATTCGCACCAGCTAGTTGTGCCTATCTCTCTTTGAAAGTTTAAGGAAGAGATGAGATAGATTTTGTTGAAACAATTTTATAATTATTTCTGATATGCATGTGTTTTATGAAATTAAATGGTGGGATAACTGGCAATCTCTTCACTGGCAGCCTATCTGTATAGCTTGACCATAATTCTGCATTTTTCAAATGCAGATCTGTGAGTGGATGACCTTACAGCCAGACATTAAGCTACTGCCTGGGGACTATGCCGTCCACTTGGACTTGATAGCAAAAGTTCGTGGTTTAAGCAGTGCTGAAAAATTCTTTGAAGATCTTCCTGATCGGATCAGAGGTCAACCAACCTGTTCTGCTCTCCTTCATGTCTATGTCCAAAACGATATGACTGATAAAGCTGAAGCTCTCATGTTGAAAATGTCAGAATGTGGTCTCTTGAAAAATCCTCTTCCTTATAACCATATGCTATCTCTCTACATGTCGAATGGGAAATTTGAAAAGTTTCATGAAACCATTCAGGAGCTAAAGAAGAACATATCACCGGATGTTGTAACTTTTAATTTGTGGTTAACTGTTTGTGCTTCACAGGAAGATGTTGAAGCTGCTGAAAGAGTTTTCCTTGAGCTCAAGAAGGCAAAATTAGATCCAGACTGGGTTACATATAGCACATTAACCAATTTATACATTAAAAATGCGCTGCCTGAAAAAGCAGCATCTACTTTGAGAGAGATGGAGGGCAGAATCTCAAGGAAAACTCGAGTTGCATATCCTTCACTCCTTAGCTTGCACACAAACATGGGAAATAAGGATGAAGTTCTTCGTATATGGAAGAATATGAAATCATGCTTTCGCAAAATGAATGATGCTGAGTACACTTGTATGATATCATCACTTGTGAGGCTTAGTGAATTTACAGAAGCCGAGAACCTTTATCAGGAATGGGAGTCAGTTAGTGGGACCAAGGATGTCAGAATTTCAAATATACTTCTTGCTTCATACATTAACCGAGACCAGATGGAAAAGGCTGACAAGTTTTTCAATCAGTTTGTGCAAAAAGGCATAGATCCTTGCTACACTACATGGGAGCTATTTACTTGGGGGTATTTGAAAAAGAATGATGCAGAAAAAGTACTGGATAATTTCAAGAAAGCCATTACTAGTGTGAAAAAATGGAGTCCTGATAAAAGTTTAGTGAGGAAGATTTTCAAGATGCTAGAGGAGGAGGCCCATGTTGAAGGGGCAGAGCAATTGTTGGTGGCCCTCCGAGATGTTGGCCACGTGAATACTGAGATATATAATCTGCTTCTCAAAACCTATGTTAAAGCTGGTAAAATGCCTCTCATTGTTGCTGAAAGGATGAAGAAGGACAATGTTCCGTTGGATGAAGAGACTCACAGGCTCTTAGATCTAACCAGTAAAATGTGTATAAGTGATGTTTCAAGCATTTTGTCATAAGTGCAGCATAAGTGTGCCCTAAGGTGCAGTTTTGTACTCGAAACTCTTGGGCTAGATTTTATTCATGGATACTTCCTCCCCTGTTTGAATTAAATCTGATTGCAAGGCAGGACGGTCATGTATTAATTTCGTCAGACAATCCAACAATGTTGAATTTGGAATCAGGAACTGAACCTTGCTTGAGGAGGTACAAGCAGAAAAATTTCCCTGGTTCAGTAGTCGATAGCCTGGGATGGTGCAGGGCATTGCCCTTTACTGTTTCCTGATTATGTACTGAATGGATCTGTTCCTTATTCATAATAGACGGCTATGCGAAACCCATACAAAAAGAAAGGGTACTGGACCCTGTCAAAATCCGCTAGTCTCTCCTCTAAACTGAAGGAAGTTCAATAAAGCATAAAATATTTTATACAATTGATCTTTTTATTATAAAAAAACTAGCTGGTGCTATTTGAAAAAACTAGCTGGTGCTATCCCGTGCAAAATGAGGTCCTCACCCAAAATAATCTTCTTTCCATATTTGCCAACACACATGCACCGAAACTATTCCAATGCATTCTATCCACTCGTGCGTTTTTAGATTATGCTGCACTGGTGGAGAAAGGGGGCAAAGACAAGATGGTAAATCGGTAAATTTGAAATGCTATATGAGGAAGGAAGAAAGAAAGAAAGGTTTCGTGATATGGTAGAACAGTAGTATCTAAACAGTGTACTTCGTACCTTTTGGTTTATATTAAAATCTTTTAATGCATGCACTACATATCTCATAGCAAACGAAACTGGTTATTTTCAGGGTTAGTACAAATTTTAATTCTTTAAGTTTGTTCTTATTTTGGTTTTAGTCCTTCAAGTTTCAAACTATAGGTTTGGGTCCCTCAAATTTCTTTTTATTTAAAATATTAGTCCTTATAATTCAATAAAAATTGGAATCATTTTGCCTTTAGAAGGGCTAAAAATTATATTTTGAAATTTGAAGGATCAAAATCAAAATTAGGAGAAATTCAAGGGATTAAAGATTATATTAATTCTTATTTTCATTTGAATGAATTAGTATACATTTTTAATGATGTTAATATATTAATATTATTTTCATTCACATGAGTTAGTATGTTATAAAGGTTTTTTTTCTTACATGGGTTGCACGGAGAGCTTCTGCAACTAAGATGTAAATATTCAATTACAAACTTTAAAAATATATTTATATAGATCACAATCTATTTTCATTTACATGATTACAAGATTAACATCAAGATCTTAAGCAGATTTAACATATCAATTGATGCATTCATTGGCCTTCTTATATGCATAGTTCAAAACAAGATTCCGATCTGTTTCTGCTGTAGTTGTCAATGAAGCTCTTCATCAAGATTAGTGGTATTCTCTTCAAGGATATGATCCTTCTGTGTATACTCCCCTTTCCCCTTTCCCCTTTCCCCAAAAACAAAAAAAGTTTAACTTAGCGTCAATTGTCACAATTGGATCATGAGATTATGCGCACGCATTGTTATCAAATCTTCAACTCCTCCAAATTGACCTAAACCAGAACCGGGTTTAAAAATTTGAAATAATCAGAAAAGCTGGTTTTACCTACTTTCTTTTTTGGGTGGTCAAAAGCCAACTTTATGCTTAGAGTAGTGTTATATGTGTACTATGATTTGATGCAGGTGGGCTCTTAAATTTAATTTCCATCCATTATTGAAGACATGCCTTGCTAATACTTTGCTTGGGGGTTTGTTTGACATGGTTTATTTTCAAAGATGTTGGGAGGATTTGGTGCGGTGGTTAAGAAAAATCGCTAATTGCCTGGAGCTGCCATATACGTACAAAAGGCTTAGATAACATCTGCTCCTTGTAGATCACCAAAATAACATATTTGAGAACCAGAAATACACTTGACCAAACACAAGCATGAGGTCACGGGAGGTTATGGAGTAAGCAGATGAGCGTTGCGCGAAGAATAACTGCAACAACCACACTGGTAGGGGTTTACCGAACCCAACCCTCATCCGCAACCAGCCAGCCACGAAGGTTTTCATTCATCTAATTTACACAAATGTCCTTATCTATCATCACAAAACTTACTCCTGTTTCTTGAAATTTGCATGGCCCGTTAGTTAGGATGCCGTTTTTTGAAATCCCCAAAAGGAAGATTGATTAAACCTGAGAACTACAAATTTGTCGTCTTGAACGAGCAAAATTTTGCCCAATACAGACACATGATCGTCATTTAAAAGCACCTTTTTGGAAATTTAGCTTTCCAACCTCCATGGATTTTGAAAACTAAAAGTTAAAAACAAGGGCTAGGTCGGGGACAAATTAGTTGGGTAAGCCTGTAGCAAAATCAGAAACGTTACGAAAAATAAAGTGATCAGTGATGGTGAGTAAGGATTACGTTGCGGGTTGTATGCGTAATTTGAGTCCGTAATCAGGGTTAAATATGTCAAAGAACCTCGTATGTTCTCATGATTCATGTGCTCAGCAACGTAAGTAATCCCACGCGCAACGACGCGCAACGTTGTCGTTCGGTGTGACCCCAGTGGCCGGGCCAGGCTTAGAATTCAGACATGCGGCGTTCACGCGCTTGAGTGGGGGCGTGAACATCGTTGGTTACAGATGGTCCCCCAAAATGCCGTTTGAATCTCTTTTGTTTTCTTCCCTCGCATTTGATTTAATATTTTTAGTTAAGTGGCAGGTCAGAAGCTGGACCTTAAAAAGCCAACCAACTAGTTACCCCTCCCATTACAGACAGAACAGAGCAACTAAAACGTCGTCGACAAATAAAGACAACTTCTCTTCTCCTTCCTTAATTCTTCTTCCTCCATGGCTTCTTCTGTCCATGAAGATGAATTTGGCTTTGGATTTGATGAAGGCATGCTACGCTGCTTGCCCTCTAATGTTGTCCACGAGGCATGCCTCCATAAGGTCTTTTCCTCTTCCTTGCATATAACTAACTGTAACTGCTGCAGTATTCTGGCTTCCCTGTCTAAGTCCTTCTTCATTAATAAACAATGTTCGGTAATTTAAGGTTGGAGATATGTTCCTGTTATTGGATTCATATGTTGTTTAGCTTGGTTTCAGGTTCACATGAGGCGCTCCCACCAGAATCATCATCAACTCCGTCACCACAAATCTTCAGTAGAACCACAGGTACCTCCCCTCTCTATAATTGAGAATGAAGAATTCGAGCTTGCCAGTGATCCATGAAATCTATATCTATATATATATATTATATGTCTGTGTGTGTGTGTGTATGAACTATTACTTTTTGTATATCGCCTTCTAAACAATGAACAGTTTGAAATACAACGCAAGCCTTCTTACTTCCTCCAATTTCTTCTGCTGCGTTTAAAACAACAAGAGAGAGACAGAAAAGCTTGTTTTTTGTAGGGTGCTGTACATGAAGTTTGGCTGGTAAAATGTGAGTGTGATTAGTTAGGTTTAGGCATTGACAAGATGTATTGCTTACATTGCACAAAAGTCTAAAGTTAGTCGCATTATTTATGGCATGATATACTGATGATTATCAGCATAAATATGATGAGGACATGAAAGTGTCAACTTGTATTCTGGTGGCGATTATAGGGTTCTCAGTTGCAACTACAATAAAAACGCATATATTTCAGTATGTGTTATTGGCTAACAAACATAATATGCCTTTGCATTTAGGTTCTTATTCCTTCTTACCCAATCAATCCCTCTTTAAACCAAAAAGCGCCTTGAAGTTGTGCTCCACTATTGCCTTTTAAGTTATCAATTTGTTAGTATTAGTAACACAGTGACAGAGCTTTGGTTCAATGACTTGGGAACAAATGTAAGCCACCACCATCGATCGCCTTTTTAATTTCCAACTTAGTAAAGTAGAGAGAATTTGCCAAAATCCCGAAACTGAAACTTGCTCTAATCTGATTGGTCTCATTCTCTTCTTTTCCCTTATCTGTTTGGAATAACAGTTTAGGTATGAAAGGTGCAGTACAACAAAGCTTAACTCTAAACAATTATACATTTACAAGTCTCAGTGGCCAACAGAAAAGTCAAAATTAAAACATATCCTCATTATGGTGCTCTGTGCCGCGTTCATTATGAAGATCCTTCCTGTAATATATTATTTTGTTTCCAATGTCCAGCGTTAAACATAACAAAACATTTCTCAATTAGTTTTCTTTCACGCAGTACTCAAGATCATCACATCAAAGGCCGAAACTAGCCAATGGCGGATTTGGAATGCAGGCAATTTTCCTGGAATCTGGGCAGAAATCGTGTGGAACAGGTGTATTCTTACCCCAAACAGCAGGCACAAACTTCCAAACTGGCAAGAAGAAGCCAGGTTAGATATAACTTGGGTTTTTTAATGTCGAGATTTTTAGGGAAGAGACTTATACGTATGAACTGTTAATTCTGCAGATTCTGATACACTATAATTCTATAATTTGCAGGCTGTGCTCCTGTGCTACTCCCAAACCGAGTGATTCGAGCTCTAAATCTCAACGTGCACACCTTAGGCTTGCAAATTTCACCCCGCCAAGGTCCCCTTAATTAAATATTTTCCTTGTACTTCATTAATTTGAGAACACAGTACTATCTCCCGTCCTAATTATAAGACTTTGTTTAATTAGAACCGGATGTAATAATAATGAAGTCAACTGTTCACCCCATCATTAGAAATAACTAGTAGTATAATATAATTCAACGTGATGTCATTGCAGACCCAAAATATGAGGCCAGATGTGGAGAAGATTTCAATAAATCAGGCAAGAAGAAATATGACCAGAAAATATGTCAAAGCAAGACGATGGCGTTGATCAAAGTCACTGCCCAGCAAGGATTTTTCTTCCAAAGGAATGGACTTATTAAGAAGCTATCTATCATCTGCATAATATCATCACAGGGGAGCCCATCTGCAATAAATCTAAGCGTCGCATATAATTTCGATAGTGTGTGCTGCTTTCTGTGTTTCATTCTTTAACAATGTTTTTTTCCCTCTACAATATAATAATTAACAGCACATAGTTTTTTTTTTTCTTTTTAGAGTATTGTAGTTTCTATACACAATCAGTGTATTAATTAAGGGTGTACCATTGTTGTTACGCTATTATTAGGCGATACTTATTAGTGAAAATTAGCCAATGAATTATATAAGCGTACCGATTTTTAATGCTGTTTTTTTGTTTTTTCCTTGATGAAATATATGCGACATCAATAAATCAAAACAATTTAGCTGGCTTATATATTGAATTCATGAATGCCTTTAGAAAATTTAAATCACAACACTGCTGCCGGTATTGTTGACAAAGCCATGTTAACAAACTTTCCTAATATTAAAAAATTAATCAAATATAAAAATTTTAAAATTATTCTTAATCAAACAAAAACCATTATTTATGTTAAGAATTGATGCGTGTAGTCTTCTGAATAGGACAAGAAGGAATATTCTCTCTATTGCTTACTATGAGTAAACTTTTTTTTTGGGGAAAAATCCTTACAATTAGCGTCGGTGTGGTGTGCATAGCCTGAAAAATAAAAAAAAATTAATATAATTTCTGATCTCAAAATTTTTTTTATTTTAATTTTAGTTCTTTAAGTTTTAAACGTCTCTCAAAGAACCAAAATCTATAGTTAAAATTTGAGGAGAAAAGTTTGTATTAACCAAAAATAAAATCATATTATTTAATCTTTAGATTTTAATGAAAATATGTATATTGCATTTATTACAATTTAATTTCACCAATAAAAATTTTAGCAAACAATCTCATTTCCCAAACAGTGCCCTCCCATGGCACCCGTCTCACGCCAACCACTCAGGCGTTGCCACGCACTCATTTGGCACGAGCGGCGGGTAATTATCCAGTAATATTAGCCGGGCAGTGAGTGAAATTACAGCGGGCAAAGTGGAGGATTTGGCGAATCGGATGAGCACCTGCTAGCCTTGAAGGGGAAGCGGAGCACTGGCCCGCGGTGCTCTCGCCACTTCCGGCCGTCACTCATCGTGAATTCGAAGCCCAGTCATGGAAGCTACTTGGTTCAGCTCTCACGTCTTCCGTCCCCATAGCTCTGGAACTAAACCTAAGTTACTTAGAGGTTAGTTTCAGAGTGTTTTATTACCTAGAAAACTTAGGAAGCAAATAAGCTATTTGAAAAGGTAATTCGAGTCTTTTGGCTTGAAGCTTGTGAGAGATTTTTATTCTCACTGATAGTGCGACTTGATTCCGCATGATAAGACTTACGATATTTTCTATCCTATTTTAACTGTATTCACCTAGAATGAATAGGCTGGTCAATAATCGCATTTATTCTTATCATCACGCTCATATGTCGCCTATCATATGCTGTTGAAGTTCGTAGTATAACAAGTATTTGTCAGCGGCACGTGTATTTTCATTATTTGCTTTACGTCGTGGCTTTAAGTGTCCAGAGTCACGAATTATTTGTCTGAATCAAAAATGTTATTTCAGTAAATATATTGCTGTGAATGCTGGGAACATACTAAATCATTGTAACCTCTCTTTGATTTGAGAAGGAATTAATAATTAGTACCGCAGTCTACTCAGAATATTTAAAAGTAGTGAGGATTGTATAGGCTTGTTCTACGGAGAAATGTGCATGATCAATTATGAGTTAACATGCTCTACATTGCAAGCTGTTTGTTACCGCAGGTAGCCAAGCAGAACAAATCCAATTTTACTGTATAAAGAGCCATAAAACTGGGGTTTCTGCATTTGAAAGAAGGCAATCCCTATTTTTGAACGGGTCCTTGTTTGATAGAATAAATCGGAAGCATTATGTTAACTTCTCTGATAAGCGTCGAAGTGAATATTTGCATGTGGAACCCCCAAATATCCAGCATTCAAGTCAGGAAGTTGTTCCACCAACTCAAAGTGATGGAGCAGAGTTTCTTGTGTCTCCTGATCCCAGTAACTCCAGAAACCTAAACTTGAGATCCAAAAAGTATAAAAATAGGTTTCTTGATTTTGTTCGCTTGAGTTCTGTCCTGAATGGAATTGCTGAATCATTTTTCAAAAGTGAGATACGGAGGAGGTTATTTGTGACTGCTGTACTAATTGTACTCAGTCGTGTTGGTTATTTTGTTCCTCTACCTGGATTTGATAGGAGGTTGATACCACAAGACTACCTGAGCTTTGTCTCAGGATCTGTTGGTAAGTTATTCAGATATCACTCAGCTTCACTCATGTATATATTGCTTCTGATACAGCCTTAACGAAAAATTATTCCATTTGGTGCTCATCAGTCATCTATCAGCAGTTAAAGGGTGTTCATTTCCCAACTATTGGTAACCGAAGAATTACAACTGAAAATGAAAGCTTAGGACAAAAAATTAAACATGTTTGAGGTGAATGCCATGCTCGAGGCAACTTATGAAGTAAAACGGAAAACCTGTTCCAATTTGATGTGCTATTAGAAAGAGCATCTTAGATTCATTATAGGTGGTTTATAAGATTATCCCTGTGAGCAATCATTCATGTAGCTTCTGGCAGATGAACTTGGTGACTACACCTCTGAGCTCAAACTTTCTCTTTTCCAGCTTGGAATCAGCCCTCAGATTATAGCATCCATTATTATGCAGGTTTACCTTCTTTACTGTTTGAGTTAGAGACCGACATTTGTGGCAAATTTTTTACTTTCTGTTATTTTGGAGGCCAATTGATGTTTTATTCTATTTTCTTGCATGCAATTTTAGATTCTGATATTCTTGCAATATCACTGAATTATAAGTGAAATCATCGTATATAAGCATCTCTGAAGAATATTTCTTTTCTTCAATTATTATTTTTATCTTGAATCATGCATCATTGTGAAGAGAGCCAGGGTTCTCAATCAAATGTCAATTTTAGTGCACTAGATTTATACCAGGTGTGATATGATGTGCAGGTTCTCTGTCATGTGGTTCCTTCTCTAGTGAAACTGCGAAAGGAAGGTCTAGATGGACATGAGAAGATAAAGAGTTATATGTGTGTCCACTTATCCATTTTAGCAGTGAGCTTAACACTTGCTGTCCGTTTCAGAAATCTTATATACGGTCCTTGATTTTGGGATTATCAACTAATGAATCCTTATACAAATTACAGATGGTGGATGTCACTTGGCTTTGCGATTTTGGAAGCTCTAATACTTGCCTGCTACTCACTTCCATATTCAATTTATGCTGCCAGTCAAAGGTACTTTGATCCATAGGATCCATTTCAAGAATAATTCTACTCACTATGAAAACTGATGTATCAAAAATTTTCCTGCTCACTAATTGATATCATAATAGTAAATGGATCATATGCTGTATGATGCCATCCTTATCAAAGGTCATTTAATAGTCTTATCCATTTGTAGAGATTGTGGTCTCTTGGCCTTCATTACATTATGAAATGGATCTTTAGTTTTAACTATATTGTGCAGGCCTATAAACTTGTTTATTTGTACCAACGGTGTAACCTTTCTGACTCCAAATAGTCCCTGTCCGTTTAAAGATATTTGATTTTTTTACAATTTCTTATCTTGAAGGGTCAAGCATGTGATGGTGACAACTCTTTTGTTGGTGTGCGGTGCAATGACTATTACATGGATATGTGATACCATCTCAGAATCCGGCTTTGGTACTCTTATTGATTCTTTAAACAAAATATGTTGCTACATCATCCATGATTAGAGTTGTGGAAAAGTTTCGAAATGTAAAATTTCTGTACAATTATGCTTGTGCGCAAGTGACGTTTGTCCTAGTTGAATATTTACCGCATAACTTCCTTAAAAAGGATTATCTTGTTAATGCAAGTTTGTTTGATAGAAAATATGTTTGCAAGTTCATTTGCTCATGCAAGAAACTCTCTGAATCAGAGTGCCGTAGATTATTCTTATTGGTATTTATTTTGACCTGCCAGCAATTGCTATTAGATATTTTCATATTATTCAAAAGGTACTTATTTTCTATAGTACATGAGCATATAATCAGTCTTTTGGTTGAATTTGTGTTTTACCCAGCTGATAGTTTTATGTGTATGCATATTGATTAAATCGGGAATTATTTGAATCTTTGTGTTTGTGTTTGACTAGGTCAGAAAGTATTTCTTCTACATCTCAATATCAATTTTTTTAACTGTCTAGTTACCTGCCCATTGGGCTGGATTCCCCCCTTCATTGCTACACCCCAAAAAAAAGGGGGGGGGGGTTCTGAGTTTTTATACCTGGGTGATTTTTGAGACGAACCATACAACGCGTGTTTGCTTTTACCGTTTGATTTACTCTATTGTGATTGTTGATGCCTTCTTCAGGTCAAGGTTCATCACTTATTATATGTGTGGGGATATTGACGGGTTATATGGAGACGTTACACAAAATGCTGACTCAGCTCTCAGGTACTTGACAGGACACAAAAAAGCTTCTGAAAATTAATGCAATATCCCCCTCATCCACTTCTGCTCCTCAAGCTTAAGTTTTAACAAGTTGGAATAACAACATTTTTGGTCACATGGATCCTAACTGCAGTCTCATAGTTAATAAATTTGACATTTTTAGACTTCATTTGACATGTATGCCCATTGAATGTTTCATGATGACAATAGGATATCTCTCATAAAGGTATACATATGCACGCGCGTGCACATAGAGAAGGGACATGAAAGGAGAGGATATGATCATTTAAGGAAATTTCACATTATTAACTAAATTGACGGGCTTACCAATCTAAGAGGGCAATTTTGTTATGAAATCTGGTCAAGACTGAAATTTGGTTTGGGTAGTTTTGGGGAAAGTAAAAAACCATATATTCTTAACCATACCTTTTGATATTGCAGTGAGTACTGTTAGCTGGTGGCCCTATGTACTTGCAGTGTTGGGTCTATTTACAATTGTCACTATGTGGGCAGTTGTAGTCACTGAAGGTTGCAGGAAAGTGAAACTTCAATATTATGGCTTCAAACTTGCTTCTGCTGCAAGGTAATGGCATTGTTTAGTACAGGCAATTGAACCTTATTAACCTTGGTGAAAGTCTAGGTGTTATTACTAGAGTACTAATGTTCATTCTATTGTAAGAAGTTTATTTCACTGTTTTTATGGTGATGGCTGTCCCATACATCTTCCAGAGTAAACGGGATAATCTAATGTCGTTTGCTCATATTCTGTACTTCCATTGATTTGCGCATTGACTGACTGTTGGACATATCTTAAATAATCCTTAATTATTATGCCAGACGATTTTCATGTCTTTGAAGCTCAAAATGATCATTTTTAGCTCAATGATATTGATGAAGTCATGTAGACCGCTGACATTTATTGTCTTGAGATTTGAAACAGAGAGCAATCCCCAATTACTGAAGTGGAGCCCTATATTCCTTTCAACATCAATCCGTCAGGAATGCAACCTGTTCTTACCACCAGTTACCTCTTGGCATTTCCAAGTATTCTTGCAAGGTTTGTATAATCTATAATATAGTTTGATTAAACATAATCTGAGTATATCAAGTTTTCATCAATGGTCAGTCTTCTGATAAAGTAGTAAAGATTCTTGATTCCTTATGCTTGTGGTATCAACTCCTCACATCCCACCCAATACCCCGCCCCCATCCCCCCCCCAAAAAAAAAAGAGATTATTCACGCATGCCAGGTGAAACAGATTTTCTGTTGTTTGTCACATCAGCTCCATGAACAGTTTTTAAAAAAAATAAAATTAAACTGTTTTCTTGCGGAGGATTCAATGTTGTGATTTCTACAGTAACTTCTAATTCTAATGTGCAGTTTGCTTGGTTCACGTTTCTGGGAGCATGTCAAGGACATATTGAACCCTGATACATCTGCTGGTGCTGAGCCTTGGGTTTACTACTCCATCTATGCCTTTTTTGTCTTCTTGTTCAATATATTTGATATTGTAAGTTTCGCTCTGCTACTATTGTTTGCTAAGATGACCTTTTTTTCCACCCCCCACCCCCGGACCCATAAGTGTTGGGTAAGAAATTAAATACAAACTCGTTGTTATACATTTCATATTTACAAGTCAAATTGCTACTGCGCCACTGCCATATTAAGAGTTTGTTTGTTCTGTTTTGCTATTGCTTATATATGATGTTAATTGTTTCCAGGCCAACTTGCCCAAGGAAATTGCTGATTACCTGAATAAGATGGGTGCCAGGATACCTAACATAAAGCCTGGGAAGGCTACAATAGAATACCTTTCGAAAGTTCAGGCATCCACACGATTCTGGGGTCGTTTTCGGTGATTGACTGTTTTAATCTTTTGTCAACATCAATCCCAATTATTGATATCGTTCTTTTTAAAATACTGTATTGTATCATTGCCTGTTGAACTTTGCAGGGGGGCTGCTGTTAAGTGTACTGGCGACTACATCAAGTATTCTTGATCATTATTTACGCGCACTAATGCTGGATTTGCAATTGGGTTTACATCAGTCTTGATTATTGTAAGTGCAATATCCTCACAATTATGACAAGGAATTCACTTGAGCATTTTTAATTCAAGTTTGAAATGCTTTGTGCAATATGAACTTATGAACATTAAATAGACCTGATATATTAGTCATTTCCATCGATTACTGGTGGTATTAGTTCAACTCTTAGTGAAAAATGTGGAGCTAGCTTCAAGTGTTATTTTTTATGGGAAAATGTTCTAGAATTTTCATCAACTTAAATGCTTTAGAAATTTCCTAACTTTGTTCTGCAGTCACTGAGTAGCCCTTGATTTATTTTGTCCAGGTTGGTTCCATTATTGAGCTTAGAAGATCGTATCAAGCGTATAAGTATAATGTAATGCCAAGTTAAGCAAGGCCCTGAGACGGTAT